AGATACATTTCAAATGGTTTTAAAAACAATAATTAAAAATAGTACCATACATATGTAGAAAAGAAAAAAATACCTTCAGCTGAGGTTTTTCTTCATCTTTTGTGCAAGTATCAACTGCATGCTGAGGAACCAAAACAAATTCTTCGCTGTTCAGTGTACCCACAGAATCAGATGACCCACTAACCTTCTGTAATGAAGCTCTGACCTCCATTTCAGTTCTGCAAACTTCTCTTTCCACATCCACCTGGCAAAACCATAGGGATAAAAAAAAACCTATTGATTAAAAACATGAACTAATTAAAAAACATGAACTAATGAAGCTTCAAAAATGGTTTGTGTGAAGAAGAATCCTGCTGGCCACATAATTATCTCAAAATTAAGGAGGCTACCTTCTTGGACTGGGCCACATAATGGAAATGTACTCTCTCTTCAGCCTGCATTTCCAGACTGAAAGAACCATATTGTTCCCTGAAAAACAACACTAACCAGTCCATATCTCAACTAAACATATTTACTACTGTTTATTTGACTCTATCTCCTAGAAATACTGTTTTTGTTCATTTTAATAGAGGAAATAATGATGCTAAAAATACCTACAAATGCACATACACAAACAAAAATACATTCACCAACATTATTAATTAAATCTAAATGATTCAAAAAAAACTTATCTTCTCAAGACCAAGTATTGTGCCTTAAAATATTTTTTCTGGATCACTGAAGTTGACTAACATAGAATTCAATATCCTAAGACATGAATCTTTCTTTCCAGACACATTACCACTTACCAGCACCAAAAAGAAACCAAAAAAGTTTCACATTGCATTGTGTAGTATTTAAAAAAAAAAAAAAAAGCTTTCACATTGCATTCATGTAGTAAACAATATTTCAATAATCAAATACAGTATAATTCTGCTTTCTGGATCGATATCTACATTATACCGTACAAACAACACTCTATCATTTCCAGAAATTCGTGTATTCACATAACTAATTCTAACTGAAGATATATACTACAGAGCAGACACTACTCAGCCCTGGGGTTACAGGAGTGAATAAAGCAGACAGGCAGCCGGCTCTCCTGGAGCTTACATACTAGTAAGAAAACAAGCAAACAAGAAAGTAAGCAAATAAGTTAATTCCAAATTACTCTAAATGCTACGATGAAAATAAATAATCTGACAAAGAGTAACTGTAGGGAATGTAGGGACAACTTTCAGTAAAGTGGTAGGAAAGAACTCTGAGAGGGAACTATTTGAGCTAAAACCTGAAAGACAAAAAAGAACCATATATTAAATAATCTGCTCAGTAACCAAATGTGTAATGTGATAGAAAGGCAGGACAAACAGGCTGGGACTAAGAAACACAGGACCTCATAAACATGGTAGTCTATTGATCCATGCCTAAATGCCCAGAAATGTTCTTCTCTTTCTAATTAGGTTACTTCTTTCA